GTGTCTCACTTTGGGAGGAGCTGGGCTTTCTGGTGCCTCCAGAAGATGGTTGCAGCTGTCTCGTTCCAGCCCTGCAGCTTGACCTGTCAGCACCGTTGAGTAGTCACACTGTGATGTGTTTGGAACTCTTGAGTCAATCAGACAAGTCAATCCCAAGATCATGAAGGAGACTCCTTGTCCCAATAAAACCTCTTTTATTTAGGTTAAAGGGAATTTCTCTCCAGCAAAGCCCTGGCCGACAGTTTTCAAGAGATTTCACAACTACAGACCTTGATCAGGCTTGGAGAACTGCCAGGCCGATATCTTCCAAACTCCACGCTGTAGCAGCAATTACTTGGCAAGAAGTCAGGAACAGATCTTCACCCAAATGAATTAAACTAATTGTCTCCTGCAAACTCCCCTCCCCTTTCGCTCCTCTTTATTCCCTTTGGGAGGGGCCATTCACCGTCCACCTGTGGCTTTACTCCCGAGTCCTTAATTGTTCCCTTCTCCTGGCAGCTCTGCACATGCGCACACTGGGAACATGCTCCAGCTGTTCTTCTGCCCCACTGATGTCCGACTCCGAAGGCAGCTGATAACTATCAGATGGCTCTGGCCCCCTCTCTGCCTCTGACACAGAGCCCTCGTCAGAGCCTTCCCCAGACTCCAGGACTGACCCATGTTCCTCTCTAACCTCCTCACTGTCCAAATCTGCTGGCAGATGTTGCAATTAAAGGTAAAGGTAAAATGGCCCCTCTCCAGTTGTGTCCAATTTTAGAGGCTGATGCTCATCTCTGTTTTGGAGAAAGCCAGCATTGTCTGAAGATGTTTCCAGGGTCATGTGGCTGCCTTGACATCATGCTGCAGCACAGAACATGCGGCAAAATACAGAGCGCTATTACCTTCCCCTTGAAATGGTACCTATTTATCTACTCGCATCATCATGCTTTCGAACTGCTAGGTGGGCAGGAAATGTTTATTACATCTACTATAATTAATCGCTTCCCTGAAATCCTAGTATTGGTATATCTTTCAGACCACCATGAACATCAAAAGGACTGTTTAGGTATCAACAGAGAAAGAATGCACTTAAAACAAGGATATTATGAGCCCTGAACCCAGGCGTGCAAGTCATAATATTTGCTTGAATTTGCCAAGATGCCTGTGTGATCCGTTGACACCCTTGTTCCTATTCTGCATGGTTGTGCAGCCTCGTCTCGATGCCTTTTTGATCCAATCTTTGCAAGCTATTCCTATGTCAGGGAGTAATAAAAATACTTAATTACAGATTCCCAGCACAACGTATTTAACTATTACTTACTGGCTTTTAATTGGAAGTTTCTTTTTTTTAAAAACAAAACCATTAAAGGCTAGCAGAAAACTAGCAATTACAAGTCATTATGTAATAAGTTAATTTTTAAAACAGAATAAATAACAGTTTGCTTCATAATAAAAGCGTAGGGATCTATTAAGTGGCTTTAATTCCAGATGTGCAATTCTTTTAAAATGCTTCTCTTGGTGCTAGATGGCATTCTGAGTCAGAATTACTACTTTCCCCCACAACCTGATCTATCTATTTCATTCCCACCCACCCTCCCAGTCTCATCCTGGACTATTTGCAATGTGAGTCTCTGACTGGAAAAAACATCTGGTATTTGGACATCTGCATGACCCAATCCAAGTTCACTTTGGATTGTACCCATCCAGTACAAGATGGAGTTATGGACACTGGCAACTTTGAACAATTCTTGGAAGAACGGATCAAAGTCAACAGCAAAGCTGGGAACTTCGGCCGAGGAGCGGTGACCATTGACAGGAGTAAAAGTAAAATCACGGTGACCTCCAAGGTCCAGTTTTCCAAGGGATATCTGACCAAGAAAGACCTGAAGAAGAACAACCTGTGCAGCAGGACAGCACCTGAAGAAGTCAGGACCGGAAGCAATGGGTGGAAACTAATCAAGGAGAGAAGCAACCTAGAACTAAGGAGAAATTTCCTGACAGTTAGAACAATTCATCAGTGGAAGAACTTGCCTCCAGAAGTTGTGAATGCTCCAACACTGGAAGTTTTTAAGAAGAGATTGGACAATCATTTGTCTGGAATGGTATAGGGTTTCCTGCCTAGGCAGGTTGTTGGACTAGAAGACCCCCAAAGTCCCTTCCAACTCTGTTATTCTATTCTAAAAGAAGCAACCTGGAATTAAGGAGAAACTTCCCAACAGTGAGGACGGTTAACCAGTTTAAGGCTGTGCTCTTTACTTTTTAACATCTGAACATCTGAAAGACCCAGTCTTTCTAAACGGATTACCAAATCTTCATTTCTATAAACTGGCCTCCTCAGTTTCTGTTTTGGGCAGGGAGACTGGTGCTGGTTATTGTCTCCCTTAAAATTTTCCCCATT